GGGAGGGACAATGGCTTCTTGTGAGAGAAGCATATGTTTCACCTCAGCAGCAGGGAATGGCAGGTGGTGAGGGTGGGAGTTAGCTGAGGGGCGGAGGGAAGACGGCGGTGGAGGCGGAGAGGAGATTTCAGCCCATAAATTACACCGCGCTCTGGCCGCGCTTGCGCTTTTAATTACTGCTGACGCTCCCCCGGGCTCACGTGAGGAGGTTGCACGATGTGCGTTGCTAATGGGAACCAGCCCCGCCATTCCCAGTCAGCTGGGGGATTGTCACAGGGCAGGGCAAAGGCATCGCCGCTCTCTGTCTCCTCCCATAGTCCTTTGCTGCACTCTACCAGGAAGCCTAGACCGCTGCTTGTTCCTGAAGTAACAATAAATAACAACAGCCAGGCTAGAAAACAAGGAGCCAGGGTAGAAAAGTCCCATTGGCCCATCCTCTCTCTGACAGAACCGTGTTATTTACCAGCCTGTTGGGCAGAAAACACCCAGACCAAGCCATACAGTCCCCTCAGCTCGTCCCCTCAACTCGTCCCTCAGCTGCCATCACTCCCACTCCGTCCGTTAGTTAAGAAACTCAGGGATGGACATGCTGAGACCATTGTGTCAGGAGCAGACTCCGGAGGGACTTGGAAGGATTTCTCTCGCCATGGAGAGGGTGCCTCACAAGACATGTCTCCTTCCCGGGGCGAGAGAGGCTTCCTCAGGCCTGAGTCCGCACACGCTGGGACGCAGCATGTCCCAGGAGTTAAGAAATGGGATTGAGATGGAATTTGAGACATAAGAATGTAAGCTCGGCCATACTGAGTCAGACCAAAGGTCCATCTCGCCCAGTATCCTGTCTACTGACAGTGGCCAATGCTAAATGCTCCAGAGAGAGTGAACAGAACAGGGGATTATCAAGTGATTCCTTTTCTGTCATCCGTTTCCAGCCCCTGACAAACAGAGGCTAGGACCACCATTTCTACCCCTTCTGGCTAATAAGTATTGATGGACCTATCCTTCATGAATTTATCTAGTTCTTTGTTGAACCCTGTTAAAGTCCTGCTCTTCACAACATCCTCTGGCAAGGAGTTCCACAGGTTGTGTGCAGCGTAAAGAAAAACTTCCTTTTGTTTATTTTAAACCTGCTGCCCATTAATTTCATTTGGTGACCCCTAGTTCTTATGTTATGGGAAAAAGTAAATCACTTTTCCTTATTCACTTTCTCCAGATCTGTCATTAGTTTATAGACCTCTCTCATATCCCCCTTTCGTCTCCTCTTTTTCTAGGCTGAAAAGTCCCAGTCTTTTTAATCTCTCTTCATATGGCACCCGTTCCAAACCCCTCATCATTTCTGTTGCCCTTTTCTGAACCTTTTCCAATGCCAATCTATCGTTTTTGAGATGAGGCAACCACGTCTGCACACAATATTCAAGATGTGGGCATGCCATGGATTCATACAGAGGCAGTAAGTTGTATTCGGTCTTATTCTCTACCCCTTTCTTAATGATTCCTAACAGTCTGTTGGCTTTTTTGGTTGCCGCTGCACACCTAGAAGACGTTTCCGATTGGGATGATGAGGCACAATCGCCCGTGACAGCAGAGGATTGGACTTTGTGACCCACGTGGTCCCTTCCAGTGCTACTTTCTGCTGTTGAGGGGAAAGCGCCATCGGCTCCCAGTGCGTCAGCTTCCTACTGTAAAAGTTCCAATCGAGCGGCCTGTCTATGGAAAGGCGACTAAAGCAGCCAGACTAGTGACGGCACCATAGCTACACCGGCGTAATGCTGTAGTGCAGACACAGCCCATTGCAACATCACCACAGAAAACCACTTTCCCACCAGAAGCCTGCTGGTTGCGTCCACACTAGGTTGGCACAGCTCCAGTAGAATCTGCCCCGGCCTACTTTTTAGGCCTCACCCAGACTCAAGCTCATTTTGTCTGAATCCAAGTGGGTCAGGCTGTCTCCTGCCGTGACCCTTCCCTCCAAAGCTGAATGTGTGGCACCACCCGCTCCTCCAGTGAGGCTGGCTTCCCTCCTCCTGCCCGTGGGCATGGAGTGGTGGCTGCATTGCCTGCTGTTCCCATGCACCTTCCCCCGCTGCTCTGGGCATGTGCTGTGGAGAGAGCGGCACTGCGACTCCTTGCGGGCTCACGCCATACACCTGTGGTGTAGCAAGCTGGCCAGCAGGCCTGTTGAAGGGGTGGGGGCAAATGGGGCAATTACTCCGGCGCCCAGGTGATTTAAAAGGGCCCAGCGGCCCCAGCCACTGTTGCCGCCAATGCAGCGGGGCTAAGGCAGATTTCCTGCCCACCCTTGCTGCCTGCCACTTCTGGGAGCAGCTCCGTGGCCCTGGGAGGGGGCGAGGCTCCATGTGCTGCCCCCCCACCTCCAGCGCCAACTCCAAAGCGCCCATTGACCAGGAACTGTGGCCAATAGAAGCTGTGTGGTCAGTGCCTTCGGGCAGCGAGGCTGGCAGCCTGCGCAGGCCCCTGGGCAAGGTGCGGAGGGGTCAGCACCCCACTCCCAGATGGGGCAGGGGACTCTGGTGGAAGGGACAGGGCCAGCCGTCTGTGGTACCCCCCTTTAACCCTCAGAGCCACGCAACTGCCTCCTTTGCCCCTCCCCCCATCAGTGGGCCTGCCTGTGGGCCGTGGTGCATGGAGACCCCCGGACTCCCCGGCTAGAGCCACTACCAGAGGGGTGTGGCCAGTTGGTTTTGGGAGCTGAGGTAAACACTGACCCCCTGGCCCTCTCCTGCACCCCAACTTCCTGCCTCAGCCTAGGGTCCACACCCAAACTCCCTCCCAGGGCTTGCACCCTTCACCCCTGCTCAACTAAACTCCCTCCCAAAACCCAACCCCTCGCTCCTTCTCACACCCCAACCCCCTGCCCTAGCCTAGGGCCTAGAGTTTGGGTGTGGGCCCAAATTCCCTCCCAGACCCCACAGCTTGTGTCCCATCCTGCACTGCAGCCCCCTACCTGGGGAAAAAGTGCGTAATGGAGGGAGGAGGAGTGGAGCCTTGGAGAAGGGGCAGGACAGGGGTGGGGCAGGGGTCTTGGGGTTTAGGCAGACAGACAGCAACGCAACTGGGCAGGCATGTGGCAGCCCTGACTGTGCTGGAAGAGCAGCAACAGCGCAGGTACGGCACTGCACAAATGCCAGGTGGATCATGTCCGCATGGGCGCAGCTTGTGCATGCATGGGGACTCCTTCACTGTTCTGCCTTTGGGCCTGGAATTGCTATCGGTGGACCTGAGCAGCAGGCAAGAGGGCATGCAGCTGCTGCTGCATCTATCCCACTGGAGACCTGACCCTGACCAGATCTGCACCCAAGAGGTTTAGTGGTTTTCCTGCCTGACCTGGATCCAGCATGTGGGGCTGGATCCCCATCAGATTTGGGTCTCAAGACTCCAAGCTACAGTGCTCAGGGGAATGGAGTTCTCTCACCCCCGTATGCTGTGGCTAGGTTGGGCCAAATTATAAGTGCACACCGCATCTAGGTTTCAATGACCAGAACAATCGGCCGTCCACTATTTCCCCTAAAGACTATTCCCTGGCTCAGTCCATCTTGCTATCAGGAAGTTTTTCTTGATTTCCTACCTGAACTCTGCCTTTCTCCATTGCTCCCCATTGCCCTGAGTTATTTGCAATAACTTCTTGTTTAGCATCATCCACAAAATTCACCCTCCTTTCCAGATCTGGTGAATCAATGCGTCCAGTAAAACGAGCCTGGTGAATCAAGGAAGTCAAATGTGCGTGTTTTTGCAGAATCACACTTTCAGGAAGTAACGAAAGCCTTGTAAAAAAAGGAGCAATAAAAAGGGGGCAAGTGGATAATTAGAAAGTTTGCTCATATAAGAGCCAGCCAGCACTGGGTACACGAATGCTCTGGTGTAAAAGGGCACTCTGAAAGGTGTGAAAAGTGACTGTGCAAATATGGAACCTCCTTAAATCAACCAATCAGCTCCCTTCGTCAGATATGCCAAGTATAAACATGTCACTACTTTTAAAGTCCTCTTCCTCCTGGTAAGACAACACAGCTCAGGGGAAGGGCACTGGAGGGTATTTCTGTTCACACATCGTCAACAGAATCACGATTAGGGCTGATTCCTAAAATGGACAGAACACATCTTCCAGATGTCAGGGTAGATTGAAAGGACTGGGAGATGTAAATAAAATGATACTTTTTCTAAATGATCCAGCAGCCATGAGGAGATAACAAACATGGGGCCGTATAATACAGCTTCGGCAGAATCATGTATCTGTATAGAACTGGACTTTAAGGAAATTAGTCAGCAAACCCAAATCCTATGAGTGTGATGCAACACTGTCCCGACACATAGATGTTTCCATGAGTAAAGTTACACAGACATGTACATCTTTTGCAAGATCCAGTTATTTCATTTTTTTTCACTAATTTTTCTTGTTTAAAAACAGAATGTAGAGAACTTTGTTAATTGCAGCCATTGTAAAGTCAGCATTAACGTAAATCCAGTCTGAAGTCAATGATCCCCAGATGGCAAACATTTATTTTTGAAATCTATATATTGACATTTAAAAGCTATTTTACTTCTTAGATCATTTTATATTTAAATTAAATGGGATATCACGCAAATGCATGAGTCATATGTACAGTCATATTTTAGAAAATATATTAGTCATATATAAACTTATGGTAATACAGGCTGAACCTTTCTAGTCCAGCACTCTCTGGTCCGGCATGATTTTAGTTAGCCGGATGTCCATTTATCATGGGTATGGCCAAGTTTCCTGCAGTCCCATGAAGTCTGTTTAGAACCGCCAGTCCTGGTTCTCAGTGATCTGTGTTATTTAGCTCTAATTTACCCCCTCAATGTCTTCTCAGAGCCCAGTAAGCAGTGGAAGTTGTTGGTAATGCTGCTAGACAATATTAGAATCATAGAATCATAGGACTGGAAGGGACCTCGAGAGATCATCGAGTCCAGCCCCCCGCCCTCCCATAGTCTGGAAAATTGACCTCCCATAGTCTGGAAGATTCTCTGGTTCAGCACTGGCCAGGTCCCAACAGTGCCAGACTAGAGAAGTTCAACCTGTATATAGTTTGTAACATCTTCAAAATAAGATATTTGCATAATAAACGTGGCTAAAGGAAAGTATATAGTTTACATAGGCCTGCATCTGGTTTCTATATATTACACCCATATGCCTATAGAAACACACAGCAAGGGCACAATATTACCCAAGGGTTAGAAAAGATGCTGAAATTGAGTATTATACCACTAGGGTATAGACATTAAAAGAAATATTTTGCATGGCTTTGGATGGCTCAAGGAAATAGCCACTATTTTGAAATGATATTTTCAAAATAAATAAGCATGGTACAAATTGCTCAGCAATTCTGTTGCCTTGGTCATCTTGTTTCTTGGGTAGTATTCCTGAACACATGCAGAAAAATGGTGCCCAGATCTGTGTGATACATTTATGTGCAATTGTTTAGGCAACTCAGACAGTGTAACGCTCGTGTGATGGTTTCCTCCAATCACAGCGCAGGACAAACGTAGACTATTGTGAATTCATACTGTTCTGTCCTCACATAGGCCATATACACATAATTCAAACCTTCAAGTGAGGTCTTGCCAGACAATGGCAATCATAAATTCTCCAAAATTTCTCTCCATGGTTCTTCTTTAGAATCTCAGCAATGTCAACATTCTCTTTTTTATTGTCTCCCTGCATTGTCTAGACAATGCCTCCCTCAAATTCCCAAGATTCTGGCTTCCTGCAACAAAAATGCAATAAATATATCTGCTAGAGAGACTAATCCACCCGCAACGAAGTGGTATGGGAGGTTAATGAGGGAAGACAAGAGAAGCATTTCCCATATTGTACAGCTGCCACCAGGTTGCTGAAGAGAGCGGAAAGCTTCCCTCTCCCCGAGCAGCTAAATCCAGAGAAGCGCAGTGTGGCGAAAGCAGATGGCCCTGTAGATTCTTAGCATCTAGAGACGGCTGGCTCAGTGCTGGATTTGGGTCACATTAAGGCTACATCTGCATTAGTCTTTGTTATGAAAAACGGCTCATCCCTACATTAGCCTGACCACTGATGGAATTGCAGAGAGAGACCCAGGCCTGAAGGGACCTTTAGATCATTTAGTCTCATCCCATGTGTTGGAGGACACTGAAATTTCTTCCAGTTCCTCCTGTTCTGAGCCCAGTAACCTACGGGACCGGCAGCCTTGCCCGGGCCCTGGGCAAGCCGGGGGTGGGGAGAGGGGTGTGTGGAGTCCTGCTCTACCTGGCCTTGGATGGAAGGGGCGGGGTTGGGGACAGCCAGTCCTCAGTGCCACCAGATCACAGTGCACCCCACCCCCAGTCCCAGTGGCTAGCACTCCCGGTGCTATAGTTTCAGCTCTGGGCCTTTTATATTGCTGGGCCCTGGACCAGTTCCCCTTCCACCCCCACCTCCCTCCCGTTGGGTAGACCTGTCATTTACTTTTGTTCGGTTAGTACATATCTTCCAAAAAGCACCCTATTCTGAGTCAAAGACACCCAAAGATGGAGAATCCACTACGTCCCTTGATACCCTGTTCCCACTGATAACTTTTACAAAGTCAAACATTTTCAAAGCAAACTTTTAAAGATTTAAAAAGATCAAGATGTTTCCTTTGAGGCCTACGATTTTCAAAAAAGAGGAAGTGTTTGGATGCGGGGAGTGTAGGGGGGGGGAGGGCAGGAAAATTTCAGAGAATAAGCCAAACACACAAACAGATCCGTTCCTTTGGAAACACAACACACAGAGGCCATTTTCAAACCGTTCATGCTCTTGCTGCTTCCCCCCAAGCAGCTCTACTGGCCAGCTGATGCACAAGCCAGACAGGGCCGTCCCAAGAGACAGTCTCTCAAACAATGAGCTAAAACCCTGTATGACCTAGAGGGTTCCAGAGTTAACACCTTGACTTGTTGCCAGGGGAGATGGGTGGGTATAGAATTCTGGCACCTGTAGGCGGCACCAGCTGTCGCTATTCTATTCCTTGCCCATCTCCAGTCCCAGTTACACCCTTCACTCCGTACACGGCAGATCCTGAGCCCAATGAGAAATGCTTATGGATTTTTGCAAACAGAGGAAGTGATTTAAAGTGTGAGCTTCATTCCGGTCCCGTTTTATGAGCATTAGGTTCATACGCTCCCTCCCGGAGCCTGCTCGTTGTGTGGCGAAGCAAAACTTTCTAGTAGCAGATGGACCTTTCCGGGGAACTGAGTGGCCATAAATCATCTTCCTCTCCAGGCCTGTCATTCCCCAGCAATGATCCCAGCAGGAACCCTGGAATCTCACAGCTTTGTTCTCACTTCTCGCTTCTTACTGCTTCGCTTCTCCCTCTCGAGAACCTTCCGACAGGAGCTCTTGGAGCAAGCCTCACGTCCCTCCCTCCTCTCCAACAGCCTCCTGCCAAAGTCTTTGCTCTGGCAAGCCCTGTAAGGCAAGGGCCGAAACAGCAGCTCGGCTCTCCACGCAAGGCGCCTTCCCAGTCCCTGGCCAACTCCAACATTCAAAACCTGCAGCGCAAGGAAAGGGGGCAGCGGTTTCTAACAGCACAAGGCTCGGCCTGCACTGCCGATGCGTTGACCTCATGGCTCTCTAGGCAGGCAAGCAGCATCACTCTCATTTTGCACATGGGGAAACTGAGGCAGGGGGTGTTTACATGATTTTTACCAAAGGTCATGCCGCTACATAGTGCCAGAGCCAGAAACAGAGCTCTGGTCTCCCAGCCAGCAGGCCTGCTTGGTGCAACACGCAGCCTGCTGGAATACAGATTGTACATCTCTAATGAAAAGCAGAAGGTAGAAGCTTCCTTTGGCTAAAGCACAGTATTACTCTCTATGTGATTGTGCCCCATGACACTGTCTTTTCCCTCAAAGAGGGTCTTTTCTTGTCCTGCGGGGAGCCTGGCATGCCCTGCGCCTTGCCAGGAGATGGCTTTCCCACTGCGCAGTCAATTGTATCTCTAGGCCTATGCCTTTCCCATGAAGAAGCCGTAGTTTATATCAAGGTGCCCAGGTCAGGGCTTGTCAAGCGGGAGGCACAGATAGGCGGGTTGGGAGAGGTGTAAATAGAGAGCTGAGAGAGAGAGGGTGTCTGCTAGCCAGAGAAACTGGGCTGAGCCGCTTACCCGGATCACAGGCCTCGTGCTCCAGTTCACGATTGGCCTGGGACTCTTGCACGCTGGCTACTTTGTTCACGTGCAGGCCTGAAGCTGCAGACAGAGGCTCAGCACAGAGCTGGAAAGAGAGAGGTGAGAAGTCACGGTCCATAGGCAGGAGCACAGGGCGGGAACAGCAGCAAAGCCGCGGTAGGGGAGCTGCCTGTGAGCATGGCACCCGGCTCGCTCTAGTCCGGTTCGTCCCGCCACAAACCTGCTCCCACAAAGGCTGAGATGGCAGCTCCCTGCAGATCCCAGCTCCTTGCTCTACTTCCCAGGTCTCCCCGCTAGGCTCTGTGACTCCACAGGGGAAATGAGCCCCACAGTTCCCCACTGGGGTTAGCGCTGGTAGAGGCTGCAAAGCGGACACGGCTCAGTTGTTCTACCATGGTGGAGCCTGACCCAGGGTGGAGCCGGCTGGCTGGGCAGGTACAGCCCTAGACCCAAGCCCTTCCGGCCGTTTTGGTTTAGGACAGCTGGCCTGAGAGGTGACTGTAGCTGGCTCCTCCAGGCACCCTGTTTCCTGTGCCTTCCTGGCACTCCTGAGATGCCAATTAATCATCTTGGCCCTGCTCCCGGCTCAAGGACTCTGCAAGCTGCAGCCCACAAGGACAGAACGGGCCAGCAGGAAAAGGGGGCTGGGAAAGAGCAGGCGGAAGATCACAGCAGCGAGCTGGTCCTTCCTCTCCGTCATGCTCCCCTCCTTCCGACAGCCGCGGCGGAGCCAGGAGCGGGGCTGCAGGAGGCGTGGGGGAGCGGGAAGCTAGCGCCCGGCTGAGCTAGGTTAGCGTCTGCATTAGGCTACGCTGGAGCCTCGCCCTTCGGAGGATGTTAGCTCCTCTGCCGAGCCAACTCCTGAGTCAGCCTGACAGGAAACTCCTGCTCCGGGCATTCGTGTCTCTTGCTCACCGCCCGTCCGCGGGATGGCTCACTCCACCCCCCAGCCTCCAGCAGCGCCCTGCAGCAGCAGGGCAATTTCCTGCAGGCACTGGGCCCCTTGGCCCAGCCTTTTCCTGAGCCTCAAACTCTTCCCTCCCTTCCCCCACCCACCCCCGCCTTGCACTCTCCATCCCCCTTAGTGCTGGGCCCTGGCAGGCTGGGAACGGCCAGGCGAGAGGCAGAGCACCGGCCACCCCCCACCTCCAGTCAGGCCCCAAAGGGCTGGTTCATCTCCACGTCCTTTCCGGGGCCGGGAATGGTTGCGTAACCCTCTCTCCCTTGCCGCTGGCCGGCCCGTGGCTTGTCCGCCAAGCCCCAGCCGGCTCACAGCTGAACCCACCCGGCCCTGGGTGGTCGGAGCCTCATGCCTGCCCCCGGCCCAGAGAAACCCCGTCTGGCAGAGACGGGGCAAAACAAGGGGCCACACTGCTCCTCCTTCCCTCCCTGCACATCAGGGCGGGGGCTCTGGAAGGGCTGGAGCTAGGGGTGGGCGGGCCAAATCCTGCGCCCTGCCAAAGGCCAGCACACCGGCAGGAGCGGTGGCCGGGTGCCAAGGAGCCGGCCTGCCCCGTGGATTGCAGCACGTGGCCCAGGCAGGCAGCAGCGCCTCGTGGCAGCACCCAGCCCCAGGCCACGCCCTCTGCCAGAGGGCAGGGCTGGCACCTGGAAGGAGCCAGGCGCTCTAGCGAGCCAAGCTCTGAGCTGGCCCATGGCTCCCGGGCTCCCGCCAGGACCGAGACCGGTCTCCGGGGCTGCCAGGAAGCGCCGTGCTGCTCCCGCTGAGCCAGGACTCCACTTCCCAGGAGCCCCTGGGTAACCCGCCACCCGCTGAGTGCCCGAGACCCCCGCCCTGCACAGGACACCGCTCCCGGCCCAGCGCCTCGCCCCGGCTCCCCTCCTCTCCTGCACCGAGCCCCTCTGCCTGCACACCCCGCCCCGGCCCCTGTGGTTGCCAGGACGCTCCCCTGCTGGGGCAGCCGCGTCGTGGCCAAGCAAAGACCCTGATGAAAGGCACGTCTGTCCTCGCAATGTGCTGGGGGTAGGGGACAGGTGTTGATTGCCAGCCACACCGTGGGGGCCAACTCGGAGGAGTCTGCCAGCCTGTGCCTACTTAGTCTCTTATGCCTGTGACAAGTCGGGCTTCCTCCGATCCTGCAGCCCCGCAGCAGCAAGAACAGAGGGGGGTTATTGCTTCTCCAGGATTCAGCACAGCGTAGCCGTGAGGTGTCTACAGGAGTCTGGGCCAGGATCCCTCAGCCCCCTTGAGATGGGGTCCCTGGGCCCCAGCCACCTCCTTAGTCTGTTTCCTTCATGGTTCCAGCCCAAGACTGACTCGCTCCCAGACCAGGTGTTCCTCTCCGCCTCCCTTCCTTTGTCCCCCCCCGGGGAAAGAGCCTTGTTCCCAGGTGTCTGGGCTAATACACATGTGGGGGAGTCAGTAGGAATCACACCGCACAGCGCAGGGGGACACCGGGTGACAGAGCAGACAGCCCCCCACTACGTCGCAACGCCAAGTTTCCCCCCAGAGCATCAAGGCACCTGCTTCGTGGATAAGACCTTCCCCAGCAGCGTCAGCCAGCTCAGCGGGTGGTCACTCCGATCAGCCGGGTCCCGTTAAGGGTTTGATGACTGGACCGAAGCCTCCTGGGGCTGGTAGCACAGCCCGGGCAGGACGGGGTGGCCAAGAGGCAGCGAGCCCGGAGGCAGGGTACGACACAGCCCGGCGTGGGAGCAGGGGAGTTAAAGGCCCAAGCGCTGGAATGTTGGCTGGGGTTCTCCCTTCCTGTCGGAGAGCCTGGCGGCCGCAGTGGTTCCAGCCCCTGGCCCTTACCCAGCCTGTCTCGGTTTTGCCTCGTCTGCAGATTTTCCACAGAGGCAGAAGCGAGCACAGGCCGCTGGAAGCCAGCCAGGCGCTGGGGACGGCTCGGGCCCCGCGCGCTCAAAGGCGCCCTTCAGACCTGCTGTGCAAGGGCCCGAGAGGCTGCTCACCGCCCAGAGCAACACCTTGTGCTGTTCCAGCACGGAGGGGCCGGCGCCCGCGAGCACAGCGGGCGGTAGGAAGGAAACAGGCCCCTCGCTCAGCCACAGGGCAGCCATTCTCCCTGCCCCCCGCCCTCAGTGCCTTCCCCCGGGGGCACCCGCGTGGGGCTGCCAGTGTTCTAGTCATGGGCTTTGCCCCTCCTGCTCCCAAAGCCCTGGCTTTGCACGGCTTCTGAAAGCAGCCATCATGTCCCCGCAGCCCCTAAGCGTGGGGCAGCTGGGAGCTCCACGCACTGCCCCCTGCCTGGAGCTGTGGCTGCTGCTGGGGTAGAGCCTACAGGCGTGGGCAGCGCACAGAGCATCCCGGCCCCCTCGCTTAGGGGCCGGAGGGACAGGCTGGCTGCTTCTGGCAGCCGCACAGAGCTGGC